CGTTAGTGATATTAGGCACTTCCACCACAAAGCATATTCTTGTTTCTCTTTCTTTGTGATTTTTAGTGACCATTCATAATGATTGCCTGGAGATCCAATATTGCATTAACGGGTCACAAAATTGTAATTTTTTAATTTCACTATTCTTCATTGATTAGCTAAAATATGCAAATATATAGAGTAATTTTCTTTCATTCGTTACTCTAAGATAAATTTTATATAGGAAAAGCAAGTTAAATATTTAAGTTTTTCCCTTTATTTATGAGTTTTCAGAATCTAACTGTGACATTTCTCAAGGTAAGCACTGATTTTTTTCTTTTTAGTATCATTATAAATATACAAATTTGTCATATAAGATATATTTCAATATATTGCAATTATTATTCATTTTTTCCTTTAATGTGCCATAGGGTACATGCATTCACCAGAGAGAGAGAGTACCCCTTGGGGGTAAGGCCACACCACAGTCCTTTCTCCTCCATTCTCTTCTCGAGCTTTTGGGCATGCGTGCATATGCACTTGGCATGTTTCTCAAGCTGCCAGGTGCAATCAGCCATGTGGTACTCATCCTCCTTAACCACCATGCCATCTACTGGCTCTGCAGTTGTTATTCTTGATGCTAACGTTTGCCAATTTGGGGATATAATATACTACAGTAAGAGTATTTCAGTATGACCCCTGAGTTGTTTTGAAAACTTGTTTTATAATATGACAAGATGACCAGTTTCTTCTTGTATATTTTCTATACCAATTCTCAAAGGAGACCTAGTTCTATCTAGGGGAAATGTACTTAGGGTCCATTATCTGGGTACTGAAAATACCACAATTCTGGATAATCATTGTTCTAGACCTTGTCTGTAGGTAGAGCTAGGAAGTATATATGTACTTTTTAAGAGAAAAACATTTTAAACTATCACTGATGTTTTCAATTGAGATTTAAGATTTCAGGGGTTTAATAACTTTAATTTATATTTGTATTAATTTTTTGTACACTAAAAATCTTGATTCCAAATGTCATCATTACTGATTTTGATTGTCATTATATATATATATATATGTGTGTGTGTGTGTGTGTGTGTGTGTGTGTGTAACAACATAATGAAAACAGGTTAAAGTTTAGTTTAAGATTACTTTTTGTCTTTGGGGTTATATTTCTATTAAGAGTGTATGAAGCCAAATTATTGTGTTTTAAAAGTCTCTCAGCATCATTCCTGTCTCTTAAGCTATGAAATTAGGTTGAATTTGTTTCTTTTTGACTTGGGATTTTAGGAATTTAAAAATTTTATTTATAAATATATAAAACATTTATATGGTTTTGAAGTTAAATCTGTGAGACAAGGTATATTCAGAGAATTCTGTTTTCTCTCCTGTCCACTTCACTTTAGTTTGCCTCATATCTTTAGGAAATAAAATACATATTTGCCTCTATTAAAACACACAAATGGGCCAGCCCACAGCATGTTGTTTAAAGTGGCTGGATTCCCATGTAGCTGACCATGCAGGTGGAGTTCAGATCCAATAGCTTAAGAAACATGCTGGGCACATGTATGTACATTCACGAAATCTTTAAAGGAGGGAGAAATGTGAGAGAAGGAATTCAGACCAGTCCCCATTTAAGGTACTGTCTTACTTTCTCCTTCTCACTCTCTCTGTCCTCTGTCTCTCTATCTCTCTCTCTCGGACAAGAACACAGGCCCTCTGTTCCATTAAAATAGAACACACACACACACATTTCCATGCTTAGGTAAATGGTAGCCTATTGAGTGTACTTTTCCCCATTATTTATTTGTCATTCACATAATATCCTACAGATTATTCCACTGCCTTTAAAAAGATATAGTTTAATTTTTTAAGCTGCATATACTTCTATTGTGTGCATTTGCTACTCATGTAGTATTCAAGCAGTACCCGCTCAATAAATATTGATGATTACTGCTTTTTGATCATCTAAAACTGCCACAATGAATTTGAGGATGTAAACAAACTCATAGCCAAGTGTATCACTGGTATAGATGTCCAGAAATGGAATTCCTAGCACAAAGGCAAACACAAGTGTAATTTTGCTAAATGTTACCAAATATTTCTCCTAAAGTGTGACATTTTGCAAGTGCACTGCCAATTGCTTAAGGAAAGACTGTAGTCAATTATATAAAGTACAGTTGAAGACTGAATAGGATCTAATGTCAATGAAAACAAAGGATTAGCAAAGATATGAATTGCATTTTTATTTAAGCTACTTTTCTTGTTGATATTTGTCTATACAATACTTCTGTGCTGATGGGAATTTATGTCACAAGATAATATTTGCTAAGTCTAATTCACTCCAGTTGTACAATGCAAAAGTATTAGGATTCAAACATATTTTCTTTTATTAAGGACTATTATCTAGAAAGCAAGTTTTACTTCCATATATGATTCACCTTTTTATTAAAAAACTTCCCAAGAGTAGAAATTGTGGATTTGTTCATTGTTCGTAACTCACGGTGGACATTAGCCACTTTTCATGATAAGCCATAACCTATACATTATGAAGCCATCTTAGAATGTCACTAACTTTTAGACTAGAGAGTAATAAAAAAATTTAAATGTCCTTTTAAAGACTTAGATTTGCTTCTTAAGTGTGTCTTAGCATGGATTGACATGGCTTAAAGCTGTAGCATGATTAGCAATAAGATGACTGACAAAACCCAAAGTAATAGTTCAGTACCTTAAACCACTATTCCTAAATATACCTTTCTTTATTGATATAGCGGGGGGGGGGAATTAATTTTAAAAGGTGGTGACTATTGATTACTTAATGGAAGAAGATAGTGTAGAGAAATGCTGAAGTGAGTCTATTCTGTGCCCTCCTGTGAAACAGGACCCATTATCCAGTAGTGGAAATCATGTCATAACTCTCATTAATATTTAACAGACAGGAGGCAGGCTGAATGTAGGCTACAAAATTACCCTAGGCATGGACTGCAAGAGGCCATAAGAATGTTTTAAGTATAGAAAACAGTAATAGACTTTCCTGTGCTCAGATTGTTTATAAGAAGGACAATAATAGACTCAGTTCCCCTCTGTGATCTCAGCAATGATGGCCCGATGGAAATGTCTACTAGGCAAGTTGGAGTGATTAATGCTCTAGGAAGTCACTCCAGGTTAGCGAGCACTGCACGAAAAGACTACAGTTTCCACTGTGGTTCTCAATTTCAGCCCTTCTCTTCCTCTCCTCTCCCACAAGCTGGAAGGGCTTGTTC